ATTCTTTGTACAACCATTTAGCAAGAAGTCCCAGCTGCCCTTGGTAAACATACTGATAGGGGAACAAGTGGAAACTTCTGGAAGGGTCACATCTAGAACATGTCGATAAAAATGGCGTTGGGGAAGTCGAGTCCATTGTGGTCTATGCCATGGATAGGTTTAGCAATGAGGATAAAAACTTTGATAGCACGCCTATTTTAAGTAATTTACTGGTTAGAAGCGTTGATGTGTTCAAAATCCAACATATTCAATCTACACTGGTGTGCAAAACATAAGGACGAACCTAAATTTTCCGTGACGTATTACCGCCCTATAGAACCTAACCACACGTATAAGGAACTGTTCCAGTATAGTACAAAAAGCAATAATAGGAACCGCTAAAAGGTCCACAAAGCTATAAATAAGTTAGGTTACTTCATCTATCTCGTCCTTAAAGGCAAACTCCGGGATTAAACAGGTGCTATCAGCGCTTTGTAGTGATAGCTTAGCTGCGGAACGACCTGAAAGTGGAAAGGAAAGCAAGAGAAATCCTTGGGAACGCTGAAATTAAGGCCTTAACCTTCAATAGGTCGGAGAAAGGGCGGTCAAAGAAGACAAAATACGCGAGAGAGCACGTCGTTTGAGAGAGCACGCTGATCTCTCATCAATGCACGCTGATCTCACCACCTCTCGCGGTGGGTGGGAAGCGTTGGAAGGGAGTCGATGGTTGCAGGCCCGTAAGGATTAGCGCCCTAACCGCGCAATTTTTGCGACGAAGCTGGAGTGATCTAGGTAGGTACGGACCTTACAATTTCCCTCGTGGTATCCCTCCTACTAGTCGGGCTAATCCCGGGGTTTGCCTTTAAGTTTGCACACCAGTGTAATTCTTCGCAATAGTCGGCGGTCCACTCAGTATAGAGCTACTGCCATGCCTCATCACTTCTCCCCTTGAACCTAGGAATTTTCTTGCCCTTGGCCCAGGATCGCTTCTCTTCTTAATTCCAGGCTGATCAGCTTATTATCAGCACCTTTATCTTGACTTCTATCATTCAAGCCGCAGAACTGATGGTGTGTCCCGTAACCCACCCCCTACCCAACGCCATTTTCACCAAACTTGACAGCTGATTACGAAACAAACTTTTTTGAGGTTACAAATAGAATGATGCATCGGTTCAATATTCATTCTTATTCCGAAAATTTCAGGTGGGTATGAACCAACTCAACGAACTCGGCCGCTATTTCCGATTCA